CCTCTCTCTTTTGAGTTGCTGTCTTGCCCTCTGCCCCCACAACTTGACTGACTGGGGAATGTCTCATGATTCTCTTCATACCTTTTCACTGACTGATGTTTTTATACATGATGTATAATAATAGTAGCTCAACTGAAATGTACTGGTCACCGGGGAGTTAACGCTGGGCAAGAGAGTGACCAACATTTTCATAATTCATGCAGTCGCTAGATGGAAATGTACTACCCGGAGTGATTCGGGATTGATAATAGACTCTGGAGTGACTGTAGGAGCGAGAGATTGACTGAACGACAAGTAATTTTATGTGGAGTTGTTTTGTGTGTGTGTGTGTGTAAATTCCAATGTTTTGAGACTTTCATATTCTGTACCAACGACTAATTGTTGAACAGACTGCAGCATTTGTGAAAGTTGGCAAAACGGTTGTGTAATACTAGTCTCAGCACAAGAAATGTACAGTCACTCTCTAAGCTTTGTATTTCTTGTTTTTAGGCTTTTATACGAACACACAGCTCTCCATGTGTCGCATGTTCTTTTGATTTTGACTGGCTGTTCAAAATCTTGGATTGATGGGGTTTATTAACGCCACTGTTGTTTAGTATTCTCGCTTTTTGCAGGGATGGTTTCTGAAAATGGCACAAAATTTTGTTTGCTTTTTAAAAATGTTTTTGAATGGAGGATCCACTAATGTATGGTTGATGACGTTACGACCTACTGGTAGACCGTGTTGTTGCTGTCGTAGGAAGACGCTGCGCTGTGTCTGGTGGGATGATTGTGTGAAAGTTGGGAGTGCAGCGACAGATGTATGTGAAGGTTTGTTCCGGCAGCTGTTTGACGGGACAGGGTTGGTCAAGTTGGTGTTTGCGTTGCGTTTGTTTGTCGTCGGTGAATGCATTGCATTTGTCGGCGTTTCTGGTTGGAAGGGATTGATAATATGGCCAGTGAGTGTTTGCATTAATCCTGCAGAAGTATTATTGTGGGGGATACTTTGACTTTGATAGCTGAATGTGTGTCTGTCTGTTTAGAATGTGTGTCTGTCTGTTTTGACTCGAGTTAAAAATGCTGTGTGTCTCGAGTTTGTGGTTGTTGTCTGTTTGTATGAGCAGACGAGTGTGTGCGTGGAAGTAATGATGTACGTGCGTGAGGAACGAATACTTTTCCGTTGTGTGGGATAGGCACAAGGATGTGTTCAATTCCACTTGGATCTTTTCGCAGACACCTTTGAAATGTTGCTGGGGTTTGATGGCGCTGGTGCAGTGATTCTTCATGCTTTATTGGAACAATTTGTCCATGACTTTACTCAACAAAGATGACAACCACCACTTGTTAATTCATCAAAAACTTTTTTTCAAGTTACGACCACATTTGCTTGCAAAAACAATAAAAGTCATTTGTGGTTTTATGAGCTGTTTTTGTTTGTTTTGTTTGTGTATGCTGATTTGTTTTTTCTATTCCGTATGACTGAGACCGGGAACTAACATTCTTCAAATTGAGGTGGTTGGCGGGTGCTCTGGTGTGGTTTGCTTCTTCTTTCCTATCAAACATCTATCGTCCTTATCTCCCCTTCTTCTTTTTTATGTTTGTTACTCTCTTGTAACACTAATCTTCTGGCGCTCATATGACCTTATGCGGTTGCGAGCGCCGTAAAACCTCTACTAAAACTAAACTAAACTCTCTTTACTCAAACAAACGGTGATGTTCATTAAATTGAGGGCAAGCGAAGCAGGGGAAGGCCCAGAACAGCATACTTAGGGAACCTAAACAAATGGGTAACAGGGAAAGATCAGGGAAACCTGACTTTTTTTAGAGCGTCCGAGCAAAGGAATGAATGGAGAACCATGATCGCTGATGTCTGTCGCAGATCTGGCACTGGATGATGATGGTGATGGTGATGATGATGATGATCCCTTGGTGTTTGATTGTTGTGTTTGTTTCCTCCACTCATCAGTACGGTTTCATCAACTACGAGGCGGAGGAAGGCAAGAAACTGTTCTTCCACATGACGGAGGTCCACGACAGCGTGGTCATACAGCCCGGCGACGAGGTCGAGTTTGTCCTGGTGCAGAATCAGCGCAACGGGAAGTTCTCGGCCTGCAGCCTCCGCAAGATCACGTGAGTGCCGAGTAGTTTTTGTGGGGTTATTTTGGTTGTTGTTTGGGCTGTGCTCATTTTGTTTTTTGGGTTGTTGGTTTTTTTTTCCTTGAGGCGCAAGCAGGAAGTCTTTTTTGTTGTTTTTTGTTCCCAGTGCAGATGTGCGTTGTAATGTTTGTGTCTGATGTAAAAATGGGGATGAACCATGTTGCGGGTGTTGAAAGAATGATTCTTTATTGTCACGGTTGTGTGCCCTTCTTGGTGCCTCGTTTTCAACGTGCACACAGGGATTTCAGTGTGATCTAAAGTAAATAAAGGTCAGTTACCGGCAGGCAGCCAAGAGAGCAGTTGTGTTGTCTCTCTTCGTGTATTCTTTTTGATAATGTGAGGCCATAGGTAGCCGTCACATGCGTGTTCTGATTTGTGAAGAAATTTTGGGAATTTTGGAAATTCTATTTTGAATACAATTTGAGCTAGAAAAGGCAACATGGGATAAAATGGAGACAAGTGGTTAAATCATGTGTGAACAACGTATTTTATGTAGAGACAGTCCCCTCAAGGGTGTACAAGCACACATTCACATAAATAACACGCATGCAAGCGGGCACATACACACACATGATTACAGGCAGACCTATTCCCATCTTTTGCAACTTCGAGTAATTTTGATCCAGTAAATTCATCTCAACAATGTGGGTGGTTGGCGGGTGCTCTGGTGTGGTTTGCTCCTTCTTTCCTATCAGACACCTGTCGTCCTCATCTCCCCTTCTTTTTTAAATGTTTTTTTCCCTCTTGTAACACCTCTAATCTTCTGGCTCTCATATGACCTTATTGTGTTGCAAGTGCCGTAAAACTCTTACCAAAGCCATTTTTAATGTTGTGGTGTTTGTGTGATTGCTCCTCCAGGGACAGAAGGCGGCCGGAGCGTCTGCTGAGTCGACTCAAGAGCATCACGGACGACAACTCCTACAAGGTGGTGGTGATCCGGCAACCGCGAGGTCCCGACAGCACCAAAGGTTTCCAGGCACGGACTCCGTGGAAGCCCCCCGTGTCTTGAATGAGACGCTGCTCTCTCAATCTTCTTCACCATTCTCACCATTCTCACCCATCTTCAGCGCTCTCCTGTCAGGAGAATTCATTTTAACAAGTATTATATATCGCAAGAAAAAAAAAAGACTGAACAAACAAAAAAAATCCAAAATGTAAAAAAAGAGTGGAAAAAAAAACAACAAACAAACTTTGAACAGTCATAATTGGTACCGTTATTTGTATGTTGTCTGGCTCTCTGAGAAGGCAAGCGTTTGTATCAGTGATGGTTTATTTAGTGCACGCATGAGTCTCGTAATCACGCGTCGGGATGAGCCTTCCCTCGCTTGTGCACATATTTGAGAGGTTGACACTTTCGCTCAAGCTGTCCAAGAGCACAAGAATGTAGTGGGCAGAATTATGTCCCCTGTCTTTGTACCAGAAATTACTTTGCTCCGTCATTCTGTCAGTTTTTGTACCCAACATTCACTTTAACTCCCCCACCCCCCACCCCCTCTCAATTTTCTCATGATTTCATCTCGAAATGTTCTATTTTAGTACCTGATCATGTGTAACGATGAGCAAGGGGCATTCTTTTCAATCTATGCAACAGCTATGAAGTGTATTCTCTTCTCACACTCTCCCTTCATCTTTTGTACCGAGGCTGAGAAAAATGTTTGGCCTCCATAAGAAGTTGCACTTCACAGAGATCTCTTTCAAGTCTTCAGCCGTTGTGTGGAAAGTGGAAACTTTTCCTGAGCAGGTAGTGGTGATCTGAGTCATTTTTCTGGTGCTTGCCTGACAGGGGGCGGGAGGTGGCTGTATCTTTTCAGACCGGGCCATATCTACTCTCGACAACACTTGTACAATCACAAGCTTGTGCCTTGCTTTGTGTTTTGCCCCGACTTTTACGTGTACGTCCATAACTTGTCTCCCCCATTTCATGTGATATATGTATGTCTAGTTCAGACTAGAGCGACGCTATTGTGGTGTGTGAGAGGAGGAACAGCTCTGTGCTGTGTGTGCGTGTGTGTGTTCGTGTGCGTGTGTGGAAGAGTTGAGACTTGTATTTACCTTGTTTTTCTGGGTTTGAATGTATGCATTGTGTTTGAGTGAGGCGTGAGTGTTGTGTGTCATTTTTGCCAACTTTCCAATGTTTCTTTTGACTCGCTGCCCACCCGTGCCGCTAATGCTGCCGTCATTGTGGTGGTTCAACTGTCTGCCTTCGCTGCAGCCCCTGTGGTTTATGAGTTTAGAATTCTTTGTTTTTTAATGGCATTGTTACCGCAGCTACATTCGTGATTTTTTTTTTTCCCCTGGGTTCTGTCACACTGATCTTTTTCAAAACTCAGTGAAGTGGCGGGTACTCGGAAGGTAGCGACGAGAAATTTAGTTTGTAGGCAGCGAGTTAATTGTACTCATTTCCATTAAAATTTTTACATTTTGTCGTTTTAATTTCGACTTTTTGTTCTTGTTTCAAACTCGCATGTTTCTTGAAAGCAACAATATTTTGTACGGTGGAGAACACTGGTTGAATTCACATCATCCCATCTTTTTCCTTCCCCCTCCCTCTTCCAGTTCTCTGTCTCTCTGATATTTTGAAAGAATTAAAAAAGCCAAACCCATCTCACCCTCGCCCCACCCCCCGACCCCCCACCTCACCCCATTCATGCAATCTTTCATTACTGTTTGTGGTTTTGTTGCTACTTTACGTTGAAGTCGATTAGCGGAGTGAGTTTGTCATCTTATTTTGTGTTTTTCTTTATGTGATAGTTTGAGGGAAATGTCTTGAACAGCACGTTGCACAATTTGCTACAAGTTACGATCACAGCTTGGGTGTTTTAGAGCTTTTCGTTTTTGTGTTTTTTTACTGGTTAGTCTATACAGGTGAATAATATTAAGGGGAGAGTTTGTGTCTCGTCACTTTGTGCTGTCAATGCTGCACTGAGTCTGTCTGCTCTGTGAGCAGGTTGTCGGAGAAGACTTTTCTTCTTCTCTCTCTCCACATTTTTTGTCACGGTCATAACACAACTGTCGAGCGAAATCATTTGGTGTTATTTTGAGAAACCTTTAAAAAACAACCCAGTGCTTACCTCAGTCCAGCTTATTTAATTAAGACTGTAGCAAAAGGGAAACTGTCTCGTTCGTCTGAGTTTTAATACAAAAAGCAAAACCCTGCCATATTGAAGATACGAAACGAATAATGGGGTTGTTCAGGTAGATGTAATTGCAGATCTGAAAAATATTAAAATGAACATGCAGTTGTGTTATGACTGGCAGTTTCTGATGTGATATCCTAATGTAATCTGGAGGTTAGTCTGTTTCCTAGTCCGTTCCGACTTGCTAATTTATTTACACGAATAGGAGATATATATCAATATATATATATATGTACTGTTCGTATCTTAGTCGGTACCGACTTCCTAAAACAAGAATGGAAGGTATATATATAGATATATCGAAGGCCTGCTCTTGTCCACAACGATCTACGCTCCCAGGGGATTGGGAGGACTTTTGTCAAATGAAGATAACAAGTGGTAGTATAACAATGTTGCTTTAAGTTTGTTGTTGGATGGTTTTTGTGTTCCGATTTTGTGTCTTTTCTTTCTCTCCCCTCCATGTTTCCCCTCCGAGCGATGACGTGTGGGTGAGGTCTGTGCAATACACTGTAGCTGTGAGAAATGTCTGCAGGGATGAGTGGCACCACGTATAATCAGGAGATATATATATATCGCATCTGTCACGTGTATAGACGTTGTTGTGCTTTACCATGTGCTCTCCCCCCCCCTTTTAAACAGCTTTTTTTTTCCAGGTAATATTTACGAGATAATCAACAGTCATAATATTGTCAGTTATTGGTATATTGGTACCCTCTTTTTTTTTTCACCCGTTAACTTTTGAATTCTATGATTGTTTTTCTTGTGTACCTGTAAACAAAGTTAAGTTTATAACCCATTGTTGCCGGTTTGAAGTCTAAATATAGCACACATTACTCCAGAGCTCTGAGCCCAAGAGTCTTTCATGGCAGGTTACATAATTGTCCGAGGAAACATAGCGTAGAGATTTTGCGGTGCACGTTGGACAAGCCTGTGCGGAGGCTCATGAAAGGTTGGTGTCATGTCAGAATGGTAGGAAATGACTTTTATACCAGTTCAGATGGGTCTACAATTTTTCTCACTGCATTATTGAAGACAAAGCAATTTATACTACTGTGCCAAAAATTCCCTCACGGTTCGCACATTCTCCCAGTTTCTGTCCATGTTGGTAGACAGCTTTTCTGTTACTTTGTCAAGTCTAAAATGATGTGTTTTTCTATCTGGTTATCTCTGAGTCAAAGCCGATATTAAAAAAAGGAACAAGGCCCTCTTGGTTTTTAATTTGGATTTGATACAAGGCAAAAAAGGGCTTCTCTTTTTGACTGAATCAGGATTTGATGTATACAAAAAGACCATGCCTATTTCCTTTTGATTTAATTAAGATTCCTTTAAGACCGGATCGATAACAACAACATTAAAGATTTCTTTCCTTTGCTTTCTGTCTCCTTTTCATGTGCCTTTGCAACTTGAGGTTTTTGTATCTAGACAATGTAAGTTATTATTATAAGCCCCCAGATTTACAAGTAGACTCATTATCCAGCCTTCAGTTGTGTATCTCTCTGTACCATAACTACTTTGGGAAGATGATATATTATATACATGGATATCAATGTCCTTAAAAACTTTGTGTCTGTAAATAGTTTGTATGGTTTAAGTTTAATGGTCTTTGGGGAGAAATTTAATTTTTGTCGCATGAGCGGAAAGTATCGCTGTACTGTAATATTTTCAGCCAGTAATAGAGACTATATAAAACTGACTACTACTACTACTACTAATAGTGAATGTGCTATTTTTTCCCACCAAATATTCTTGCAGCTTCCTGTGAAGTCGAGCTCTTCCTTACACTTGTAGTTTTTTATTTTTTATTTAATATACTTTTAGTTCTAGTATAGGAGCAGTGTCGTTGTTGTTGTATGATAGCAGTCTCCATGGGCGCTGTCTTGTGACTGTCACCTTTGTCTTCCACTCGATGCGACCGGCGTTTTCTACAGGACATCCTCATTTCTTCACTCGAGAACGGGTTTCTTAATCAAAAATGGCATTGAAAACTTAAAAAGTGTCGGTCATTTCTCGTCACTTAAAAAAAACACCTTGTCATTCTTTTTTTAAATTGTAGAATTTTTTTCCCGTTATTTTGAATGTGCGAGAAGGACAAGGGACTAGAATTGTTGCTTTTTGTTTCCCCGTCGTTCTTTGTGTGTAGTGTGTGTGTCTTTGCGTTCTGTTCTCTACAGCAGGCTGTTTTTGCTGGTGTGTCTGTCTGTGTGTTACTAGTGTGTTTGACCAATGTCACAGCTTGGTCATGTTTGCCGACATGCACAGATCTATACACAGACATGGTGGTGAGCTGTGATGTTACTATAAATAACCTCAGTGCTCAGGATGAGGATTAAAAAATTTTTTTTTGCCAGCTGGAGTTATCGTTATATGGTTGTTGAGAGTTGCTGGGCATGCAGTTTATGCCTTATTCAGTTGTTTTGGGTGTTTTTTTTTCTCTTATTTTTTTTTTTTTTGATTGATCAGGTATCCATCGTCGTCGGATGGAGACGACTCTGTAGATCCTTGTGCCTATTCGACTTGTGATGATGCGAAACTATTTCTGCCTTTTTCATGTATTGAGTGTCAACACATCTCTCGTATTCTGTTGTTCAGAGTGAAAGGAGGTTTGAAGATTGTCAGCGAGAGATTGTGACTGAAGCACGTTTGGAGTTTGCCGAGAGTGAGAAGAATGATTCCGTTGGTCAATGAATATTCCGCTGGTTGGTTGAGCCGGGAGGACAAAAACGTTTGCCATTTTATACCAAATGTAAGTTGAGCTGGTATATATGATTTTCTAAGCTTCTACAGGTATTTTCATTGGAAATGGACCCCCCCCCCCCCTCTCTCTTTTGAGTTGCTGTCTTGCCCTCTGCCCCCACAACTTGACTGACTGGGGAATGTCTCATGATTCTCTTCATACCTTTTCACTGACTGATGTTTTTATACATGATGTATAATAATAGTAGCTCAACTGAAATGTACTGGTCACCGGGGAGTTAACGCTGGGCAAGAGAGTGACCAACATTTTCATAATTCATGCAGTCGCTAGATGGAAATGTACTACCCGGAGTGATTCGGGATTGATAATAGACTCTGGAGTGACTGTAGGAGCGAGAGATTGACTGAACGACAAGTAATTTTATGTGGAGTTGTTTTGTGTGTGTGTGTGTGTAAATTCCAATGTTTTGAGACTTTCATATTCTGTACCAACGACTAATTGTTGAACAGACTGCAGCATTTGTGAAAGTTGGCAAAACGGTTGTGTAATACTAGTCTCAGCACAAGAAATGTACAGTCACTCTCTAAGCTTTGTATTTCTTGTTTTTAGGCTTTTATACGAACACACAGCTCTCCATGTGTCGCATGTTCTTTTGATTTTGACTGGCTGTTCAAAATCTTGGATTGATGGGGTTTATTAACGCCACTGTTGTTTAGTATTCTCGCTTTTTGCAGGGATGGTTTCTGAAAATGGCACAAAATTTTGTTTGCTTTTTAAAAATGTTTTTGAATGGAGGATCCACTAATGTATGGTTGATGACGTTACGACCTACTGGTAGACCGTGTTGTTGCTGTCGTAGGAAGACGCTGCGCTGTGTCTGGTGGGATGATTGTGTGAAAGTTGGGAGTGCAGCGACAGATGTATGTGAAGGTTTGTTCCGGCAGCTGTTTGACGGGACAGGGTTGGTCAAGTTGGTGTTTGCGTTGCGTTTGTTTGTCGTCGGTGAATGCATTGCATTTGTCGGCGTTTCTGGTTGGAAGGGATTGATAATATGGCCAGTGAGTGTTTGCATTAATCCTGCAGAAGTATTATTGTGGGGGATACTTTGACTTTGATAGCTGAATGTGTGTCTGTCTGTTTAGAATGTGTGTCTGTCTGTTTTGACTCGAGTTAAAAATGCTGTGTGTCTCGAGTTTGTGGTTGTTGTCTGTTTGTATGAGCAGACGAGTGTGTGCGTGGAAGTAATGATGTACGTGCGTGAGGAACGAATACTTTTCCGTTGTGTGGGATAGGCACAAGGATGTGTTCAATTCCACTTGGATCTTTTCGCAGACACCTTTGAAATGTTGCTGGGGTTTGATGGCGCTGGTGCAGTGATTCTTCATGCTTTATTGGAACAATTTGTCCATGACTTTACTCAACAAAGATGACAACCACCACTTGTTAATTCATCAAAAACTTTTTTTCAAGTTACGACCACATTTGCTTGCAAAAACAATAAAAGTCATTTGTGGTTTTATGAGCTGTTTTTGTGTGTTTTGTTTGTGTATGCTGATTTGTTTTTTCTATTCCGTATGACTGAGACCGGGAACTAACATTCTTCAAATTGTGGGTGGTTGGCGGGTGCTCTGGTGTGATTTGCTCCTTCTTTCCTATCAGACATCTATTGTCCTTATCTCCCCTTCTTTTTTTATGTTTGTTACTCTCTTGTAACACCTCTAGTCTTCTGGCGCTCATATGACCTTATGCA